GGTCTGCCATTAAATTGCTGATTTGGAAATTAGACCCGTACTAGCAAAAAATGATGATGCTGCGAGATAAAAAATCATATGAAGATTATGTATATAGTACTATTTACAAAGGATAATACTTCTTGTGTATTACATACCATTTATATACAAGGATTTGATCCATAGTCCTGTAAAAAAGTGTACGAAATCTACAAGTAGCAATTTAATGGTAGATGAATCGAGCGGCATATTTTACCAAAATTTCAGATTAAATTAAATAAAAAATCCAACAAAATTTAATTACAAATTTTGATGGCCTGGAATATCGATCCACTTGGACACTCGAATCTAACTGTGTTGGCTTCGTCACCTAAAATAAAGCATGGTTGATGTGTAAAAGTGAGAATAAATTTAAACTTTAAATAAATAAACCAGAGTGCACAACACAACTACTCATATGGATACGTAGACATTCCGGGTCGGGATGTGTTAAATTCATCTGAATAATTTTTTTTTAAAAAAATTAAAAGGTTCAAAGGAGGAATAAGAAGAAGAGTTAAATACTAATAAATAAAAAGAAAAATGAAACAAAAGATGAAACTAAAATCAATTAATATTTTGCATTCAGGTTGAGCATGGTTCTCTACAAAAACATTCTATGACATATTAAATACCTCCCTTAGTACAAAAATAGAAAGAATAGAGGCATAAAAGGTTCTTGCTGAACTTATTTTCATAAAGAATTCATTAAAAACGTGACATAAAAATTTGACACTACATGATAAATGCGTCCCAACGTTAAAATTTGGCTAACTGTTTACATGTATCCCAATGTTTAGTTTTTAATTTAACAACTTCTTCATCACATTTCAATTCTTCTCCCTTAGAGAGCATTTCAGTTTATACCATATATTGGGATCCTGAAACATATAATATAATAACTCTAGTTTGACCAAATTCATTCATGTAAAAAGTGTTAGAGAGGTTAATATTTTTACTGGAACTAGACTTTTGTTTTAAACAAAACGATGAAAACACATGTGGCGGATTGAAAAACAGAAAATGAAGTAGCCTACATCAGGCCAAGAATCCATAATGAGCTCCACAAAGTCTTAGGCTATATCTCTTTCAACATGAATTTGTTCTTTCTCAATTGGCCCCTAAACCAACCATTCCAAATTAATTATAACAAATCAATAGGAAGGCTAGTATTTTATTGACAAAGTTCATCATATACAAGGGTGGAGCCAGGATTTTTTCTTCGGGTGGGCTAATTGAAAATAGTAACATAAAATCATATGTTTATTTTTTGCTTATATAAACTTATATAATAATCAATATAAAAGAACAACAATATAATATAAACTATTCTCAAAATCATAACCCTAACCGATAAATTCATGGACCATATAAATAATTAACCTACTAATTAAATCAAGAATAAGTAAATATAGAGATTAAGAAAGTACCAAAGGTGACATTTATTGGAAAATCGCAAAGGAAATTAAGGAATTGCGGAGATAAGGATTTAATTATGGATTTAAAGAAATTATTTTTCTTTTCTTGAATAAGAAGCACAAAGGCTAAATTACATAGGGTAAATGGTCTTTTTCTTTAAAGAATATGATAAAGAAAGACGGGAGATAGAACTAATTTATAATTTTTAGCATAAAACGTATTATTTATTACCTATCCTCTATAAAATATACATTAGATATCTCTATTGAAATTGGGTAAGCTATAAACATGATTTTACAAAAGAATAGTTATATTCACAAACCCATTTTTACTTCCAATACAACCTTATTAATTATCTGTCAATGATCATCTCCAACTCATTTGATTCGAACAACTGAAAATTGAGAAGGGTATTTGAGAAGGGTATATGAGAAGTAAAAATAAGTGCATAGATAATACTACTCTTACATAAAACCTCCTTGGGCTACAGCCCACCTTAGTCTTGTGGGTGGCAACGCCATTGATCATATATAGACTTCCTCGTACTAATTTATGGTCAAAATTCAATCACAATCCAGCAAAGATAAAATAAAGATAAAACAAGTTAGAGATACAATAAAATTCAATAATGATAGTACTACGGTTTAGTAGTATTCATCTTTACTTGTAAATGAGAGGTCTTAGGTTCGATTCTCGTCAAAGACGAAGTTAGTTAAACCACATTATTATGGCAATTCCATTGTAAGATTTAGCCCACTACCTCATCCCTTTAGTTTAGATATTATCGTTCGTTAAAAAATCTAAAGACTAAATTGCAAACTCAAGCATTGCCATGTAATGAATAGTAAAATATCCATACCTAGTTCATCAAATTCAATCACGATCGGCTCCTGACCCAGCCTTTTGAACAACGATTTCACAACGAATGAGTACCTCATGACACAATTTAAGAAAAAAAAAACCCAATTTATCATAGGGAAAATTAATGAAAATGACTGGAAAACTTTGAGTTTTAATGAAAATGACAAAATAAAGGGTAAAGTGAATAGTACCAAGATTGACTTTTTAGTGTAAAAATGTAATTTTTCGTTAAAATGAACAATATCAGATGCTTTTCATTAAAGTTCTCTTCATCGTAAGCTTTTCAGGCCATTGATTTTTCTACCAAAATAAGCAAGTCGTCAAATGCGTGTGCACTTCCTATTTAGGCCCCACACTTTTGTTACACGTTCTTCATGGAACCTTATGCTATTTTGTACTTGCTGTCATTTTGACTGGATTTTTTTTATTAAATTTTTTATATATCAGTGCTTTATACACTTAATGAAATATGTTAGTTTCAAAGAAGTAAAGAGATAGGTACATTTCTTAGTAAGCTTAGACACAATAGGGAATCCAAATAGTAACTTAGTAAGGCATCGATGAATGCCATACCATGAATGGCATCAATTGGGAATACGCCACGTGGGACCTATCTTCCGCTTAACCGAAATTCTTACACTAATTTGTCTATGGGCCTTGGACGAAGTTTTACATTTGACGTTGTGAGCAGACTACCTTCGATCTCCACCTCTAGTTGATATACGCCATGTGGACTTCAAACTCAAGATGACAGTTCTATCCTTGACATGGTGAGCAGACTACCTTCTCCACCTCGATGGGTCAAGCGTCACTGCACATCACCAACAAGCCCGTGAAGTCTCTTTCTCACCTATCTGCACATTGGGCTCAAGCAGGTTGGGGATCGCTTTTCAGAGTTCGTGGGTGTTTCCCTTTGCTACGGCAGTACAAGTCAACAAGAGAAATCAATAATTGCCATTTTACTACTCAGAATTCATAGATAATCAGTTTCCCACAAACGCTTTTCTGACTTAGGCACTCGAGGTCCTTTGACAAACACCCTCCTCAGGTGTTTCGGTCAATTAGCCTAATGGTGTTAATTATTTTGAAATTTTTTTTAGTAGATTATCTTTGATGGAAATTTGTATCTTATTGACCCTAAAAATTACAAAGCCTACGTGGCGCACATGCCGAGTAACTAAGGAGCCTACTACCACTACTAAATTAAATAGTTTGTGCGACGAGGGAAATTTTGTCGCGAAATACCCCCAAACTTAGCTTTTTGCTTGTCCTCAAGCAAAACAAAACTAAAAAACAAAGATAAAAACTAGCAAACTAACAAAAAACTTTATTAAAACTCAACTAAGACAAAATTTTCATCTTCAAGTCGCAATCCATAGAAAACGTTAAAAATCAAAACATATTTCAAAAAATTTCAACTAATCCCACCACATAGTCTAAGTCATTTAGAATCAATTAGAAAAGAATTCATGAATTTCCTTTGGTGTAAAGTGAACCAATATAGTTAAAGACACTCGACTAAAATCCTGACTTCTTGTCCCTTTTATTCCACATGCACTAACTTTAAATATAGTTTTTATTTATTTTTATTTATTTTGTTTTTTTTTATTTTTAAGTAATAGTAGTGGTCGTGCAATGTCAGTTCACTTAAGCTTTCGATCCAACTCATGTAGCGAGCTTTAGGTCAATAACTCCCAAACCACAAAAGCTTTAGGGCACTAGGTGTAGAACACCCCTAAGGACTTAGTTACTTGAGGTGAAAAGGCTCCGAAACCAACTAACCACCCTACCCCATGCCAAAACTCTACCGTTTGATGCGAGAATCATTGCTGATCAAGTAGGATTGACCCGGTTACTAGGCAAAGCCTCATGTGGAACAATTATTACTTTATTTATAACAAGAACTAACTTTACTTAAAACAAAAATTAAAAATAAACTTAGACTAAAAATAAGTATTTCAATCTCACTCCCCACAAACCATGTTGATGTGAATGTGCAAATTTTCAAAGTGTAACTCATGAATTAGTGTCTAAGCAACGATAAATAGAAAAGATTCTATTGTGGGATTAATCTTCACCATGTCTATTTGTTCTAACATTTAAAATAATCTATGGATATTAACTTAAAATTTGAAATGATTTATTTGACTCAAAAATTAAAAATCTAAATTTTTTTATTTCCCACCCCCAAACTTAAATCACACATTGTCCTCAAGGTGTGGAAAAAGAAATGAAATCAAAGACACTAAAGAAATCGAACTAAACATAAAAAATAGTAAAGTCAATAAAGAATCCTAACTAAATGAAACCTTTCTAAATGAAATAAAGAAAAGAAAAGAAAAGAATAAATAAATAGAGAAAGAAAGACAAGAAAAGAATGCACCTGGATTTAAAAATTTGGACTTGGCATTGGACATGGGTCCCGATGCAAAGAAAGATGGAGCACGATTGGCAGCCTTGGAAACCAAAAGAAACTGGGCCTTGAAAAGATCCATGCACTGATGTGAAAACCAGCCCACGCCTAGCACACGTGCGATACACATGTGGGACTGAAACCCTAAAACTCCACTATATAACTGAAGACACAACCATTTCCATCATCATTCATTTCTGAGATAAACTCTTAGCCATCTTGAGCCCAGAGCCATGAATGCTCTCTTCCTCTCTCTTTATTTCTCTCAAACCTTAACACAAAACTATTGCTCTCTAGCCGTGCCTCCATAACTATAGCTCATATTCGAAGTACAACTTGTAACCCCCAAATTTGAAACAAACTCGCCTCGTTCAAGCACCAGATCCATCCCATCTCAATACAGCCATCACTATAATCTTTGTCCTCAATGCAAGGTAAAAATGCTCTATCCTTCTGCGATTTTTATGCTTGTGCTTAGATGAAATGGAAGAAAGATGATATGTACCTCATGCATGCGTATATTGTGCGCAGGACTCTCGGATCAAAAGTAGGAAACAACCCAAACCGCATATCTTAAGGTAGAATGGAAGGTAAAAATTCTCAACCACGATTTAGATGAATAGGTTATAAGAATTTGTGTGAATGATTTTGTCTCAGTATCTTTGTGTATTCGTGCACCCACGAATGAATATATCTTTGCATGCTCATAATTGTCCTTTTGTCGTGCATGTCTCTTGATGATGAATGTTGAGGAAAATTTGTGCAAAAATCTGAATCTGAACTTAGCTTAAGTACTGGTTTCCTCTGTGATTCTTAGTCCACCCCAAACTTGTATTGAAGTATTTTTTTTTAATTGAAATGTGAGAACGAATGAGTGGAGTGGGTCCAAGTAGTACAAAGTCTTCTTTGCAAACCCACTATAACGTTTCTCAAACTCCAGTTGACTTTCCTTTTAAATTTCTGTACCGTAATGTTGATGTTGAATGCATAATGAGGTGAATAGATGAATGCTATGAATCCACAAGTAGTTGCGATTAGGCCGAATCAGTTCTAAATTCAGCTTGCATTCACAAATCAGAAACGTTATTAGATTAGTAAAGAAAAATAACAATAATTAATTTTTTTTTCTTTCAATTTTCTGACTTTTTTTATTCTTCATGATTTGTGTAATTGAAATAAATGCAAGAAACTTAAATAAATGAAAATAAAAAAGAAAAGAGTTAGAAAATTGGGTGGCCTCCCAATTAGCGCTTTAGTTAACGTCTACAACCAGACGGATTGGAATAAAACTCGTGATCACATGAATTGTTCTTTTAAAGTTAGCATCAAGGGCTAACAGTAGGTATTGAGTGACTAGATGGTTAACAACTGTGCATCTGAATTCATTGGTTGAGGCCTTGATGTCCACCATTCCGTGTGAATGAATTTTTGTAAGCAAACAAGGTTTCTTCCACCGATGTTTTGGTCCCCGTTGAATTGGCTTTACGACCTGATTGCTGTGCTTGCTTGGTGTGGAAGGGTTGTGAGGGCGATGGTGCAGAAAAAGCGAGGAGATGTATTCCGGAGGAATTGAGGGCTTGTACAAGCATCGACATTCGAGACTTGTACGATGCCAGCTCATTCCTTAGGCTAGCGATTTCTTGCATCAAAGCCATAACTTGACCTTTTGACTGTGATGATGACGAGGGTCTACTCTCTCGCCACCTATCATTTCCCATCCCCCGACAATAAGTCCCTGGCCTCTGACCGAAAGTCTGGTCCAACGTCTCTGTGACGATGTGAAACCCTGCATCCTCAGGGGGATCCATAGACTCAATCAGCGTGTCCGAAAGAAGTTGGGAGGCGGACTCTTGAAGCACCGATTGACTCTTCTCCACCATAGACGCATGTGAAAAAAAACATGGATTATTAATAGAAAACAACTTGAAATAATTAGTATAAATGTTGAATGCATAAGAAATTACTTACATGAAGGGACTCGGTCAACTCATTCCCAGGCCAAACATAAACGTTAGCAAAGACGTCGATCTTTGGAGATTTTGAACCCTCATGAAATCAAATAAGATAAGGAAAATGTGAGTCGTCGTACCCAGTGCACAAGGCTCCCGCTTTACGCAGGGTCTGGGAGAGGTGAATGTCGGCTAGCCTTACCCCCATTTATGGAGAGGCTGCTCCCAAGATAAGGAAAATGTGAGTAAGAAAAAAAAATTATTAGCGACATTTTAAAATTGGAAATGAAAGATGTAATATATACCTTCCGTCGCACCTCCATCCTATAGGAGAAAGGCCTCGAACCCGAATGGTGGAGAAGAGTCTTATTCTCCCGATTGATCTTGTTCGCCTTCGCCTTCTTCTGTTATACAAAAAATAAACGTATTAGTTGTAAGACTTAAAGAAAAATAAAAAAATAATAATAAACATTAGTAAATATTAAGAAAAGTAAAATGAAAGAAGTCGTAATTAAAAACACACCACATAGCCCGGCTCTTGAAAATGACTGCAATGCCAAACCCAACTATCTTGTCAGTCCTCCAACTCCTTCGGACAACCCTCCTCGAGAGTGACTTATGGATCATCAAATTCCTGGAAACATTGGTGTAGGTCACTCTTCCACTGCTTGTAGCGTTCGGAGAAGAGTCGATTGAGGTACGCGAACATGTTCTCATCCATGTCCTCCAAATTGTAGTTTGTCTGCAATGTAACAAATATTTTGAAAGTATTACTAATAAAAGATAGTAATAAATATAAATATATAAATTTTACACAAAAAGCATAAAAAAGGCGACGCTACTTATGGGTAATTGGTTGTGCACCGTGTTCTTCGTCTCCTCCGACATCGCCTTCCAAGACTTCCACCGTATAGGGCCAAAGGTTTGCACGACATGCCCAATGTCGTGGGCCAATGCACTATGCTGCTCCACCGTTGGTGTTGCCCGATGTCACTCATCGTATCCGATTGGGATACGACCATTGGTCACCTAGGTGACCTTCGCCATTTTCAATTGCCGACAAGGTCCCCAGGTGTTTTTCTTCACTGCAAAGAGATGAAAAAAAATCATTAACCCAAAGCTAATAACAAATTCTACTAAAATTTCGGCATAACCTCCCCTATAATTAAAACATTTCCCAAAACCCTAAAAATAACATAAACAATACACGTATCCAACACAATGATCACAACAGTTTAATAAAAGGTTCGAAATGATGACAACTTTTTAATCCTTACATGACATGACATAACAAATTGACCCTAAAATAACGACTTAGTTAACATGGGAATGAGGGAGTAAATTAGGGTTGTATACCTAGTTATGTAACCGGGCCATATGTTGTGGATCCCGATGGCAACATTTGGTTCGTAGTGTGGGGATGCCGGTGAGTACATAAGGCGCTAACAGGCAACACCACTGAAGAAGTCAACGATGCTTGCGCCTGTGGGACTGGAGGACTAACTAGGTCAACCGGATTGACTGGCCTATGGTCCATCTCTGCCGGAGCAGGGGCGGCAGTAGTAGGTGTAGTCGTCGGATTAGGTGAAGAAGTCATTGCCCTTCGGGTTTTAATGAGGTGTGACATCTAAAAATTGGAAATCAATTTGTTTTGTACACAAAGATTTAACTTACCGTACACATGCTAATAATTAGGAGTGGAAAAAATTACCTAAAATCCCGAACCGAACAAAAAAAATCCCGATCCCAAACCAAAAATTTCCCAAACAAAAATTCTCGAAATTTTCGGGATGCTATCCCGAACAGATCCCGAAATTTCGGTATGGGATTTGAGATTGGCTTCTTGATATTTTGAGAATCCATACCAAACCGAAAATATATAATATTAATTATTATATATATATATCTACATATATATTATATATATTATTCTTTTATAATTGATGCTAGTAGTTTCTAATTCATGCTCTGCAACCTGGAATGCCCTACACCTTACATATTTTTCATGTTCTATTTGATATTCATTTGGATTTTATTATTGCTGCTGTCATGGCTGATGATTTCAAAAGGCTTGATTCTTTTTTCTCTCAACAGATTGCAAATTTTAATTAATTTGAATTTTGACTCTGATAAAAGCAGTCAGGCATGCCAGTGTTTGATTAAATGGTAGTGTGAATGAAATGACATTCCTAGTTCATGAATGTGTTCTTGAATTATATATTTGAAGAACAATTCATAATTTGATATTTCAATTTGGGATTCCCTATTTGTCCCGAAATCCCGAAAATATTTTGGGATTCCCAAAATTTAGGATTCCTGAAAATTTGGGAGTATGCGTCCGTCTGTATGTACGTGCTCTATGTGTGTGGGTGTGTGTATGTACTGTTTGTGTGTGTCCATGTATATATACTGATTTTGGGTATGTGTGTTTTGATGTATGCTAATTTTCCATGTACTTTGTGTGTGTGTGTTCATGTATGCAAGTTGTGTGTGTGTGTATGTACTAAGCAACATAATTACTTAATAGTTTCACAGGTAGTAATGAGAAAAGGGACCGTATAAAGTGATTCTCACTCTCTTTAAACTTCCACATTACATATAGAAATCATATGACTATTGGATATAAATATACATATCAGCAAATGAATGCCATGATCGTCTTCAACAGAAGAGCAAGACGGAGGAGAAATGGATAACAAAAGAGTAAGAACAATAAGGGAGAAGAGCAGCTTAGGAGAAGTCATTAAGGCATCCATTTAGTTCTTAGTATTTGCTTAATTAGCACGTAAGGATGGTGATCATGTATTTATATTATAAGTATGCCCCAAGTGCAATGTGAACACTTACCAAAATTGTTTAGGATACAAAATTACACGTCGGAAATACAAGTTTATAGTCATGCAGACCTACGCAGCGGTTTCTGTAGAGCACGTACAATGCATACATCAAAAGAGAAAAACAAGAAATGCCATCCGACTCTGTCTCCCCTTGTTTCTTAAATATATCCAAATTCAGCCAAGAAAGCATACATGGGAACTGAGATTAAAGCACAACCTAAACGGGCAACCTTTTAATTACATTGAGAAAAAGAAGGGAGATGGTTGAACCTTCGAAAAAACAACTTGATGATTCGAAATATTTCACAAATCAACAAAGGTCAAGGATCCCATCTTAGACAGATCAGTTTGAGTGCCACTTAAGTTTTTTAACCGCATAAAATTTTGAATTCCAAATAAACTTCAACATGAAGGAAATCCAAAAAAGAAAAACAAAACTCCCAAATTAGCAATATTGCAAGATAGATACTTTATTGAAACTAATCGTATTTGCAAGAAAGAACATTGGCTTCTCAAACCTCATCTTGTTTACAATCATTTACAAATGTGCAACACTTTAATAAGAAAAATTCCAAAATCCAATAGCAAAGTAGCCTCGGAAAACCAAGGAACAAAGCTAAAGATAGTAGTAAGTTGATTTAGTTCCATTATTTCTCAACACATTGAATCACTTTGCATGGTAATAAGAAAAATTCAATCAAGAGCGAGACAAGACCCTAATTCGAACCCTATACTTGAAATTAAAAAACCCCTAATTTAAGAACCCTACTCTAACCCCAGTGAAGCACCCTAAATCTAACCCCTAATTTAAGAAAACCTAATCTAACCTCACTGCCCAAAATCGTTCCCCTAATTTAAGACCTAAATCTAACCCCAATTAAGAGCCCTAAAAACTCTAATTTAAGAACCTAAATGTAACCTGCAATTTACGAACCCTAAATCTAACTCGACTGCCATAATTCTAACCCCCAATTTGTAAATAAAGAAAATTGAAAATAAAAAATGAAGAGGAAATTACCTCTTGGAGACGAAGTCGCGACGACCAGAGAGAGGGACGGAGAGACGGAAGGAGATACAAAGGAAGGAGAGAGACGGTATCGCGCAGGGAAAAGGAAGAAGAGGGAAGTGAGGGGAAGAAGGATAGATGGGGTTAAAATATAGAATCTTGCGCGACAGAGGCTTTGTCTCGCAAGGCAAAAAATCGTCGCCTCAAGTTTTTTAAAATTTTCGCAAAACAAAAAACGCCTTAATTGAAATTTCAGACACTTACACAACGAATACAATATTTCTCTCGCAAATATACTTTGTGCGACAAAATATATTTATTCGTCGCGCAATATTTCTGCATAAATTTAAAATAACCCTTAAATCGTGATTTTTCGTTTATAACTGTCCAAAAGTTTTGTCCCGTTACTTGATCTCTGAATGTTTGTTTTTTGCAATTTTTGGCATGTGCGATCTCGAACCATATACAAACAAGTTTGATGGTTGGATCTTTGAAAGTTTCATAGAATGGGTATCCTATCAAAAAGATAGATTTACTAATACTTAGAGTTTATTCATACTTTCATTAAGTATAACATAAGATTTTGTGGTATCCACTAGTGTAAATAGTTTAAATTGAAGATCAAATTCATTCATTCTATTCATGTAGGGTCAAAGAGTGTAGCTGTAAAAAATCATCAAAATCGGAGTTAAAATAACCGTTAAATCGTGATTCTTCGTTTCTAACCGTCCAAAAGTTTTGTCTCATTTCTTGATCTCTAAATGTTTGTTTTTTGTGATTTTTGGCGTGTAAGATCTCGAATCATATGCAAACAAGTTTGATGGTTGGATCGTTGAAATTAGTTTTGTAGAATGCGTATCCCATCAAAAAGATAGATTCACTAACACTTAGAGTTTATTTATACTTTCATTAAGTATAACATAAGATTTTGTGGGATCCACTAGTGTAAATAGGTTAAATTGAAGATCGAATTCATTCATTTTATTCATATAGGGTCAAGGAGTGTAGCTGTAAAAAATCATCAAAATCGGAGTTAAAATAACCGTTAAATCGTGATTTTTCATTTCTAACTGTCCAAAAGTTTTGTCTCATTACTTGATATCTGAATGTTTTTTTTTTTGTGATTTTTAGCATGTACGATCTCGAACCATATACAAATAATTTAGACGGTTGGATCGTTGAAATTAGTTTCGTAGAATGCGTATCTCATCAAGTTCAATGGTATATATATATATATATATATATATATATTTCTTTAGCTTCTTGAGATAAAAAGATTTAAGTTTTGGGTCATCGACTTTACTTATTAATTCAGGTAGAAAATCTTCTTGTTCTTCTTGTTTATTAAGGACTGAAATTTTGTTGTTGTTGTTGCAACAAGCATCGATACATCCGACCTCGATGTCTGGAGATGAGCTATTGCTCGATGAATTATTACCAGAAGAGGATAATTCCAAATCATATTTTGATTGACTGTGGTCTGTGTCTTTTAATTCCAAAACTTGGATTAACTGAAGTTTCTCTTCCTCAGAGATCTTCAATTGATTGATAGTTTTCTTAACACGACATTTGTTGGTGTAATGGCCAAATTTGCCACACTTGTAGCATTAACCCTTTTGGGTTTGGTCTTTGGTTTGAAATTTCTTGGAAGATTTCTTTTTCCATTTAGAATGTTTAGGTTTTTCATAAAACTCATTTCTTTCAAAATTCTTGTTTTTATATTTGTTATATTTAGGATGTCTTTTGGAGTATTTGGTTGGATACCTATTGTAGGTATCTGACCTTTTCTTTTTGTTGGAGGTAGCAATAGGAGGTAATCCATATTGTTCACAGAACGTTCCTAGTTCATATTTAGCGATGAATTTATCTTTATTAACTTGTTTTGAAATTTTCATATCTATACACATTTTCAATCCTTCCTTCTGGATAATATTTATTATATTTCCATAAGTAAGGGTATGATATGATATGATACCATCTTCGTTTACTAAAACATTTCTGATTTTATGTGCAAAAAGATTTAGTAATCCATTTATAAATTTTTCTTTCCAAAATGGTTGATTACTGTCTTCTCTGAGCATGACTCTTGACATGAACACATCTTTGTACTATCTAAAGTCGCTTAGAGTTGGACATCTCAGATTGCTGAGTTGATCATGGATTCTAGAGGTTACATTACTAGGTGTTCCTATGAAGTGTTCTATGATTGTAAAAAGGAGTGTGTTAATTGCATCAGGGACGCCTATTTTCATCAAAAATAGGTAATCCTTCTTCATCTTTTTTAACAATTTAGAATTTCATTTCTGGATTGTTCAGTGAGATGTTTCTCCCACCAGGAATGGAGCATTCCAGTAAATCCAGTGACCAAAAGGTTGACAACTTGGGGTTGACTGAGATTATGATTGGTAATATAACTATTAGCAACCATAAAGATATGTTGAAGTTTATGGTTTTGACTGTTTTTTCTTTCTTTAATTCAAGTAATAACTGATCAATTTTTTGGCTTATGGGAGTTGATGATGATTTCAAGGCTACTGCCTTTGAAGAGGATTCTGGGAAATTAACCAAGGGTTTTTCCCTGATTGTGGAATTTGGTTGAGAAATTAACCAAGGGTTTTTCCCTGATTGTGGAATTTAGTTTCAATTTTATCTAATTGTTTTCCAATTGTATGGAGACTTTGATTAGTAAAATTGTTTTGTTCAATGATAGGTTTGGTTCCTGCATCTTCTTTCGGGATTTTAAAAGGAGTTGCTGGAATTTGCTTATTAGCAGTTGTGATGAGAATAGTTTCTTGTGGTGGATGGCTAGAAGAGACAATAGTCTTGTCTTCTTTGAGCCAATTTTCTTTAGTTATTACTTCAAGTTTTTTATCAGACTCATAGTACTTTTCAACATAATCGAAGAAAAATACTTCAAATATGTGAGTTTGCATAAATTCATTCCATTTTTTATAAATTTCTAATTTTTCTTCTTGAGTGTATTTATTTCGAAAAATATTCCTGTGTGGAATGTTTTCTTCAGCTTCAATATCAGCATTGAGCTTTTTACGGTTCTTTTGAAATGGTTTATTTTTAACTAAAAGTTGATGATGAACATTACCTGCGTCAAAATTAGATTCTGTAGGAGAAGTATGTCCTCCTTGATCTTGGGTTTCAGGTTGATAGACTGGGTGTGTAACCTGAGAAGTTGTTTCTATCGATTTTAATTTGATATTAATCAAATCATTGATTAATTCTTGTTGAGTAACAGATGAACTAGTGTCTACTGATTTTAGTTTCCTATTAGCTAAAGAATTGATTAACTCTTGATCTTGACCCATCATATCAGTTGGTATGGATCCAGAAAAAGAATTTCTGCTAGGAGCAAATGATTTATGTGAGTGGACTGACTCACAAGACCTTCTGGTTGGACGATCAAAATTAATTTTGACAGTCCCGTCTGATCGGATCATATTTATATATATTTTTACTTCAAATTTACCCGTCTTTTCTTAGTTAGTTCTTTATATTTTTGAGCTATTTACGTTATTTTTGTGTTTATAGGATTTGTTATGCAAAGAAAATAAAAATAGCACAAATGAGTTTTAAATAATAAACAGAATAGTTACTTCGAACATTATGATTTTTTTTTGTAGGTCAATTCATTGCGATTATAATTGAACTAAATCTCTGTCCTTAAATCTATGTATATATGCACCACGGCATTGATTTTTCCAATATCTGTTTACGTGTATAAAGTGCATGCAGACGGTATTCACTCGTTTTCTTTTTGGTCAGCAAGCGTGGATTTCCAACTAGACAACTAAAGAATCCAAGGAAGGCAAGTCAGACGTGGGGAAAAGTGGGAGTGTGCTGGCTGAGACCATGTTCTATGTTCCAGCTGAGAACCGAGAAAAGAAAGCTGCTTTGCAGCTGGAAAGAAAAAAATATAAAAAAGAAAGGAAGTAGCGGGAGAAGGGAGTAGAGGGGGGAGCTGCCCTTTGGCAGCTCGCAGACGTGGAGAACGGGAAGAGAGAGGACAGCAGTGGGCTGTCTTGGCAGCCCAGAGGGCAGTGAGCCTCGGGGAGAAAACAGAGAAGCAAAGCTGCCTTTGCAGCTGGGTAGAGAGCAAGCACAGAAAAACTGTGCGGAACGTCAGCAAGTCAGAGGAAGAGAGGGAGGTGAGGACAGCCAAGAGAGTTCAGAGGAAAGAACATATAAAAAACTGCTTTGCGCAGCGTGACAGGGGAGGGCAGTGAGCCTCGGGGAGGAAGACAGACAGAAGCAGCAAGCACTCTCCTCTCTCGGTTAAATCTTTCCCACTTATATTTTACTTTTGGTTTATTTGTGTTTTAATAATGTGTAACTAATTTTATTTTGGCTAGAGGTTAATTCAAAGCCATGAATATATTTGTAATATGAATTGATTACCTTCAGTTGTGATTTATAAGTTGTGATTTCAATTTACTTATCCGTTCGTATAAAAACTGATTTGTGTATGTTGGTTGAGAGTGCACGCTTAATTTACATGCATGAATTTGATGCTAGAATATAAGTGAATTTCACCTAATCGTTATGAACTTATTTTCACAAGTAGTAAAGGTTGCTAGTCACAATCACGTTAAGTAAATTCTTGGCAAGAGTATCATGCTTTTCATAGTTACGAATGCCTCGTCAATGCTTATAGTTTTCACAAAGTTTAATGATCTTTGATTGTATCTCTATTGTGCTTTTCACGTAGGGGACTTTTGAAGAATGTTTTGAATTGTTGTATGCGTTTTCCCGTCCAATTCAATAACTTAAGGAAAACTTGAAGATTAAAAAAGTGCTGTTCACGGTTAATCTGGAGTATTGAAATTCACAATTTATTAAAAGAACAACTGGAAATCATTTTGTATGCAAGTATAAACATGTGTGGAGAAGAACCCTCTAGCTAGTCCGTCATTTATCATTTTACCTTAATTTCATGTTTTTGTCAATTCTGTAATTTAATTAAGTTTAATTCACTTTTCATCAAAACCAAACACCCATCCATTATTAAATTATATTATTTATTTAGTTTTCTTTATTGTTAGTCTTTTAATTTAATTTCCATCCATTGCAGTTCCTAGTGTCTAATTTGATTGTTTTCATTATTTTGAGTTATCCTAAGTGTGTTTCGAGTTATTAGAGTTTTTAGCCTAGTTTTGTGTCCTTGAGTCTTATTTAATATTTTTAAATTAATTTAGAATAGATTAGCAATCCCTCCTAATCCCCGGCCTAGAACGATACCCTACTTACATCTATACTACAATTGTCAAAAAGAGGGTTTAATTTGTGTGTCAAGAAATTCACGCATCACCGTCAAAGTATTGTTCTATGTTGTCTAAATTAACTAGACTATTTTGGATAGCTACTGGCCGACTTTTATTAATCAAACACCAATCTGAAGGTAGATTGATATCTGACTACCTAATGGTTCTTGGATCTTTAATGTTTGCATTTTCTTGGTTGGTTTGAATTAAAAGTGTATGATCTCTCGGACTTTTGGTTAAAGCCTGAAAGTTCATATTTGTGCCAGTGACTTTTTAGTAGACTCTATAAATTAATGCCAAGGGATGCGTTCCTTCAAGGACTTGATATCCTGAAGTTTTAATGTTTAATGTATGTGCTTTCAGCATATGGAGGTCTGAAAGACTTATGGTAAGATCTGGAAAGCAATCAAAATGGATAGGTCCATTGTATAAGCTTGATTCAATCATACCAAGTATGCTATCACTAAAGTTAGTGAATCTAGCATCTCAGAGACATAATAGAATAGATGTGTTAAGTCCTCTACGTGTTAATGGTTTTACGGATATTTGAACTAAGCCTATATGAATATAGTTATGACCATCTTTCCTATGGGATTTGATTTGTTCAGGGGAAAACAATTGACAAGTCTCATGTTCTTTATTAAGAGCATAAGCTTTTTCAACTGTCTTAACATGATGTTCACTTCTAAATGAGGCTATTGACCATTTCTTTTTGTAAATATTTTTACTTGAAACCTTGGGGATATTCCAATCTCCAAAGTCAGCACTTTCATCGGTTTGAAAATCAAGTTTTTGTTCTTCATTAACAATATCAGGTATAATGCCTAAACTGGACCTAGAGCTAGTGCTGGCCATTGAATTAGATCTAAATAATCTACTCATTTTGTTCACAAATCAAACAAACAAAATACAAAAAACTTATACTAATTCACCTTCCTCTTGCGCTGGCTAAACCCTTTCCTCGCTCATGCCTTTCATGGGTCTTATAGTTTGGAACACGCCTTACTGTTTGGTTGGGGAGTTGAACAAATGACCATGAGGATCGACATATAACTGTAAATGGAAAGTTCGAAAATGAACCTAATTTGCAGATTATAAAGATGCTAATGCAATTACTACTCACTTGGCTCTGATACCAAATGGGAGCGGAAGTTCTATCTACTGATGATGGTAGAAATTATGAGGACAACAATCAAGACTACAGTCATTATGTTCATTGGGGGTGCAGATATTATACCAGATGTTATAAACTGTAAGGAAGAAGAGAACAAAAGATTGATCGGTATTTACCTTGAATTTGAGATACTCAATGAATTGACCGGATGCCATTCAAAATTAGTGGTTATGAAAATATTCTTCATAATGAAAATAATGAATTTAAAATTAAAGATGTAAATAGATATTTGAAAATAATTTTATTTCAAATCGGAAACAGACTTACAATTTCGTCTATTGACGATTGATGAGAAAAACAGTGGTGCTCGCAGGCATCCTTGATAAAGTAAAATACAATTGTTTAATAATTTTGCTAGTTGAGGGATGGAGCTGAATTATGACTTCTGTTCTTGAGAGAATTCGCATAGAGTCTCATCTGTTTGTTCGACTAGAGTCCTCTTCTACTGAAAATGAATTCTTCTTTTGTAGGAAGGGGTTGAATGATTGAGGCTGGGAATCTTGCTGCTAACTGTCGCTTGCATGTGCCAAAAGTTGTTAAGGCTGGCGAATGATGATGCTTTTCTTGTGTATTCATGTTGTTGCTGGCTGAAATGATGGATGAATAATAAAAAGTGATTTTACTATTCATGAATAGTGTCTTGTCGGAATGATTGCTGCTACTGCTGATACTGCTATTTCTGTGGAAATCACATAGCTTCTACTATAGGATTTACATGGGTAAAAACTTAAAAATGATTACAAATCATTACAAATATGAATTTTCATAAATCAAACGGGTCTTGGGCATCTTGGTAATTTGCCCACTTGACTGTTTGAGATGAAGCGTCTGATGAATCTGAACTTGAGTCTTCATCTTCACTGCGCTGCAAAGTTACTTCTGCTATAAGCTTATCTGCCATTTTCAATAGTTGTGAGGATTTCCCTTTTTTTCTTTGAACTTGATGTTTTGGAGGACCTGGATGATTTGGTTTGTTTGCCTTTGAAAAAGGATGAAGGACTAATGTCTGATAAAGATTGGGTATTTTCTTGGATTTCTGGCAATGCCTGTGTTGATGTTTCTGGTGGAGATATCATTGGAACAGGTTCAATTGGAAATTCCGATGAGACTAAATTGATAATTTTTCCATAATCAAATTTGTCCTACCATTTAACCCACCGGGCTCTGTATACTTGACCTGTTTCAACTTCGTAATTCCATTTGAAGATCCAAGGGACCTTGTATTTTGCCATAAATAACGAAAGAAGAGTAATTCTGTCGTCAAAACGGCTTCGATCAAATTTCTTCTGGAAACCAGATAATCATATGTTCATAAGATCTTCAGGTAGTAAGCTGACTGTTGGGCCATGAGTTGACCACCAATTTGGAAACCAAGCTGGGAAGTTTAACCTGAAACTTTTATCAAATGTAATGAACTAAGAGTGACTAAGGTCAGATGATTGGTGAAGAAATATGTTGGTCCATGCTTGAATGTAGTCAAAATTAGTTGTAATGAAAATATTCTTTGTAATGAAAATAATGAATATAAAGTAGCGATGCAGATATATTTGAAAATAAGTTTTATTGAAAACTTACTTAGAAGCTTACAATTGATTTACTAACGATTGGGTCAGCAAATGGGAAAATAACTGATGAAAATGATATTAGTACAGGCAGACATCCTTCACTTTAAAAAATTAAAAGTGTTTACAATTTTGAACTGGGAAATTACAAGCTTAATATTGCTTTTGTTCTAGGATGAGAATGCGCAGAAGTTTTAGCTCTCTTTGGAATGAGACCTGAGGTTTCTTTTAATAAACTGGAAATAATTGAATGGAATGATTGAGGCCTAGAATCTCACTGTCTTTTGAGCTGGAGGATGATGATTTAATCTAATGACTGTTGAATGACGCGGCTCTTGTTGGGAAGCAGAATAATGGCTTGCTTTTACTGTTAATGAATAGTGAATTGTCTGGAATCTAGAATGATGGCTACTGCTTTCGGTGCTGGAAATGACATGTTTCTTATTGGGGTCACATGCCTAGTTACTGTGTCTTCACATGTTTGAATTATTCAAAGATCAAATGGATCTTGGGAATCCTGATAATATGTTGCTTGAGATTTTTGACTTGCTGAATTGGTTGGATGTTGTGAGGATGCGTTCGAAACGTCAGAGTCTGAATCTTCGTCATGGAGCAAAGCTGCTTTTTCCATTAACTGTTTGGCTAAATCTTTGAGCTGGGATGATTTTTCTTTTCTTTGAACTTGTTGATTTGGATGACTTGGTTGTTCCTTTGAGGGATGAAGACAGACTAATGTCTGGTAAAGATTGTTCTGGAACGGTTGGCAATGCCATTGTTGGTTATGCTGGAATAGCTAGAACTGAAGTGATGGGAAACTCTGAGAGGACCAGATTGATGATTTTCTAATGATTGAATTTATCTCACCACTTGACTGATTTTACTCTGTAGACTTCACCGGTTTCAACTTCATAATTCCATTTTAAAATCCACGGGACTTTGTACGTGGCCATGAATAATGGGAGAAGTGTAATCCTGTAATTAAATCAGCTTCTGTCAAACTTCTTCTGGAAACCAGCTAATAAGACTTGCATAAGTTCTTCTGGTAAAAGGCTGGCTGTTAGGCCATGAACTGACCACCATTTTGGGAACCATGCTGGGAATTCAACCTGAAACTCTTGTCAAAATTGATAAACCATGAATGACTAAAGTCTTTTGTTTGGTGAAGGGACACATACCATAGTAAATCCAAAGATGATTTAAGTTCTAATTCGTCTTCTTCCAAAAATTCTTCAAGTAGTCTTTCATCCCCCGACATTAAAATAGGATGCATTGATACTTGTTGTAAAAAGATTTCAGTCCTCAATAAACAAGAAGAACAAGAAAATCTTCTTATTGAATTAATCAGTAAAGTAGATGATCTAGAATTGAAATCATTCTACTTAC